TGAGAAGTCCCTGAAGTGCTCCATAAGTCAGTAAGCTTGATATGACAGACTACCAGCCACAGGAAACCAGAGCCCTCCAGTCATTAAGGAATACACAGAACCTCCCCTCAGATGTTGTACCAACCTGGAAAGGATTTCACATCTCCATGAAAAGGCATCTGCATTTCTTCTCTCGTTTTCTCTAATTACATACTACCTGAAAAAGCAGGATCATTTTAACTTCACAAACTGAGATGCACATGCATACAAACCATCAGAACTTAAAACAGTACTCAATACTTTTTCTATCCATCATAGAAATTTCTGATAGCCTCTCTCCCTGGAAACATACAAAAAGCTACTATAATCTCTGAGTATCTAACAGCTCTTAAACAAATTTGTTATATTTGAAGAAATTAAAATTACAGTTACAATCTTTGCTGACACAAGACACTCTATATTCAATACTCTAAGTGAATGCCCAGAATAAAGAGGCATAAAAAGGACACTATGTAGTAGATTTGTTCAGAAAGGCTATTTTCACTCACTCTCTTCAGAGCAGTTGAACATTTTTGCCAATCATCACAACAATTGTCTCACAGCATTCTCAAGTTTTGGGGGAAGATAAATTCTTATGTTTTCTAAAGCAACACTGCATCTTTTCCATAAGAAAAAAACAGCAACAAAACCAGCTCACCACATAAAAAGCAACCAGCTAACCTGCAACAGGCAAGGGCTGAAACACCCCCCCAGTCTGTCACACTAACTTACCAAGATTCTAGTTCAGACTGGACCACCATGTGGACTTCCTAAAAAGAAGTAAATTTTTGCATCTGAGTAACAGTTCCAAGTTCCTTCAGTACTGTAGTAATTTTTTAAGACTTGGGCACTTTTGCAGACTACAAAGCAGGCAGACTATAGTCCAGTTACACTGCCTGAATGCCAATGCCAAAACAAACCATTTCTTTTGAAACCAGAGCCAGGCCCAGCCTATCATACAACCATCAGTAAAATCTATCTGCAATTTAAGAAATTGGACGACTATGGTGCTGAAAGAACAACTAAGGGAGTTAACAAACAGCTGATACTGTGATGTAAAGAAAACACAGAACTGTTTAAGACATCTTACAAATATGGTCTAAGAACCACCAACAAGAATGCAGCACTGTGTGTATTTATTAAGCTGCTTTATTAAGCAGGATACAGAATTCAAACACATCAAAACAAGCTCATCCTGGGGATTTTGCAGTAGCTGCATTTTGAACTGTTCGCCTATTAGCCCATTAAGTAAACCTGTTACAGGCCTCATTGTCACCACTGCAATTAACTTTACAGTGAGGAAAGCATAACCTGTTACTCTTCTAGCCACGTTTTTCAATTCAGACACACAGTGAGTTGTGTCCATTTGATGAATAACGAGGCATAACAACTAACTCTTCACAACGCCTGCAGAGTAACTTCTGGTTTTGAAGCCTAACCCATTAAGTTTTAAAAATGAAACCTGTCACTAGCTGCTGGCTGGTACTTGGCTTTGTGTTTCAAAGTAAAATATTGCTCCATTGTAAAAATGCAACCACAAGCTAAGACTTGTGCTTTTATATCCTCTTCCAACTATGCCCACCAAGGAAAACCCAACTATTTCCTCAATACTTACACCTTGAAGTAGAGGCTTTCCACTGTGTTCCAGACATCACAGGAATACCCCTAAGAAGAAGTATTTTGGAATAAAGTAATTGATTAAACTATACTTTTACCCATTAACAGTTCAACAGTTGAATGTTGTATTTTACAAGCTTTCCGATGATAAGACTTTAAATCTACTTGTTTCAACAGAAATACCAAGTTTAACCAGCACATCTGCATGAAAACCAACGATGCCAGCTGCTGAAATACTTTAGCACTGCTTTTTGAACACCCCACCAGGATGAAACTGCTGGGAGCAGATACCATACAGTGCACAAATTAGTCTGATTACCTGCTGTGGAAATAGCACTTCTTTAAAGATATCAATACATTCATGCTGAAGTGCAGAAAAAAAACAAAACAAGACCTTACCTCTTTTACTAACATGTTGCACAGAAACACACTGAAGTAACAGCTTTGTACATCAGGTCAGCAAGCAGCCCTAAGAATTCAAGCAGTCTGGAAAAATCACAACTTCTCACTGTTGCAGAGCTGGTGTGTTCACCTGCAGTCTGGAAAGAAATTGATATAACTGAACTACACCTCTGCAAGCCTGGAACATAAAGCTCATGCCCTAGATTCATCAGCATTTGAATAAATTTTGAGTACATGCAAATATTGTCCCTTCATATAAGTAACACAACCAATATATTCATCAGCTGTGGGTTGCAAAAGAAGGGGTTTCTCTAAGCACTAGGTTCCAGGTTTTTGTCTACAGCAACAGACAAAAACTGAACACGTGCTGAAAGAGCCTGAATGTGTCGTCAGCTTTCATTTTGCTAATATTTCTGAAACAGCATTTGGAGCTGTTTCTCGCTTCACTGTATACTTACCATTAATAACTCCTACCTTGCACTACTGTGTTTTCTATTTTTAAAGGCAGGCATAGTTTAGACTAAGCTAACAGTGGCAAGGAGTTCAGTATCAGCCCTGCTGTCGTAAGAACAATTTATGGCATGTCAAACTGGTACATCACCTAGTTCAGTACCCCTATTACAGCAATGGCCAAAAAAGATGCCCTGTTCCAGCTTCTTTCTACTGTCCTCCTATTCTTACATGGGACATACATTAAAGTTTACCAGAGATAAGTGATCAGAAGCTGCAGCTGTTAGATGTACCCCTGGGTACCGTAAGTGTGGGTGGGGTGCACATTAGTTCTCCAACATTTTCAGCAGGCAAGACCCCAGGTAGGGTCCCAACCAAATCAAGACAGATTAAACTGCCCTGCAGCCTTTCACACCTGGTAAAAGCCAAGTACTTCTACATATAACTTGTAACAAAACTTGCATGTACTGTACAGGTGTTTAAGAACTCAAAAGTTTGGTTTTTTTCAGAGGTTTGACCACACTTATGAAGAGATGTGGCACTGAACTCAACACCTTGGAAGCATCTCTCAGAAGCTTCATAGCTGCAAGACACAAATGTGTTCACTTTAACTACAAAATACTGTTTTTCCAAAATGTTCTGTGAAGTAAAGTAAAAAAACTACATCAAGGAAACAGAATTGAAAACCAAGTAACAGCTTACCTTGCACACTAAGAAAACAGTGGTATTTTATCTTCCAAAAGCAACATCAACTAGAAGAAAAAAAAGCAAAGAAATAAGAACTAATCAGATATGATCAAAACCCCAAACATTCCTAAAGCTAGCTTTCAGTAATCAATTTAACATTTCTAATAAGCTTGATTATCATGTGTATTTATCAGTTCTAATCAGAATTGAAATTTAGTTCATTTCTGAGTCACTCAGCAGTTGAACAGAAAAATTCATCACATGAACTGCAGAATGAGCAGGACTTCACATCCCACCTCCCTATGCCTTACCAAGCAAGAACCCCACTCCTAGATCCAGGATGAGTCTTTCAAGCCATACAGAGTATTCTCAGGTAGATGCCTAAAAGAGTCACATTTAGCCATTAATTTTGGACCAATCTCAGAAGGGATCTTCAATTACTGAAGAATTATTTTCACAGTATTACTCCTTAGAGCTACCAAGCTGGAACTGGGAAACCCCAAGATTCTTTTACAAAGATCTGGGACTCAAGGGGTATAAGGAATGCAACTTGACCTGCTCTCATTATACTGAGTACCTACTGTAGTTCTCAGTGTTGATGACATTCTGAAGGAAATCAAACCAGTAGATACTACGTCATTTTATGACAATATCCCTGTTCAGCACAGTCTACTTGTAGCTGCTGAACAGCTGTTAAGTCTGTTGCTGATGGAGACTTGGTCATTTGAGTATTTCAGTGAGGCAGACCACCCTTTGGTTATTTACATCTTGTCAATTCACTGTTCTTCTACTGCTGCCAAGACAGCCTTGTCATCCAGGAGTCAGCTGTACTCTAATTCTGAACACTCACTAGTCATGTCTGCAACTGTCTAAAACACATTTAAGAAAAGATATTTGCAATTGAGACAGTTAAATATTGTCATTATTAAGAACTTTCATCTTCTGCTTAGTCACATTCGCATCAGAACCCATTCTGGATAGAGGAGGGCAAAAGAGGAAAAACAATCTTTTAATCTAAGATTCATTAAACTGCTACAGTTATATTCTTAAGATAACTTTAAATTAATATTATTGTATTAGATTAAGAAATAGAGAACTAGTTTCCAAAAAAAGTTATTCTGCATGCAATAGACAACCTCCATCATACAAATTGACTTTTTCATCACTTAGGTGCATTTACCACATTTTGCAACAGACTTTTTTAAAGTTGACTGACCACTTCTGCATATTTATTGTTGGCACAAAGATTTGCATTAAGCTTGAATTCTGTCTTTAACTCTAACTCAGGTCTCCAAGTATTTGAAAGCATAATACAACCTGCATTTCTTTAAATTACAGAAATAATCCTTCAAGCATCACTCACAAAAGAGTTGCCTATGGAAGAGAAAGGCATTGAGCTGTCCACTGTAACCTAAGCAGTTACATGTAGGTATGCCAATGCATACACTTCTCTGCACTGTGCTGCTGCTGTGTGACAGTACTTGGAACTTGTTTTCCTATCTTTTAATTTCTTATGTCCTACAACCCATTGGTTAACTGAAATCAAGCTGCAGATGCTAGCATTTCAGCAAGGTCAACAGCCTCTAAATCAAGGATATTATACTTGGTACAGGAACCATTTAAAAGCTTAAAAAAGATGACAGATGATGTTTGCTTTGTAACCATCTCAAACACAAGTCCAATGTTCTCACCTTAAACCAAATCCGACTAGGTTGTTTGGTAGATAACTCAACATTGACTTCAGATCCACATTCTAAACCACGGAGGCCATGAAAAAGGCATCTGAAGAGTGACCACTGTCACCTCATTTTTTAGTTTTTGGTTCACTAAGGTGAACTGTGCAGAATCCCAGAGTTCTCAAAAGCACAGTCTTCTTCCCCATCTAGTTCGATCACTTCAGTTGATTTTGCATGTTTTCTTCCTGGCTTTGATTTTTTCTTACTGGGAATTTTGCTGCTTATAATGAAAGAGCTGTTCTCCTAGGAAAGTGGAAGACGTAAGTATTCACAATTAGTTTTGAGATATTTAAAAGGTAGTATTTTGGTACTAACTATGCAAACTTCCAAGAACTCTTCAGAGAACTACGAAATTCTGATACATTCCAGCATTACTTCAAAGAGGAGAGTGTGGACTCTCAAAACAACTTCCTTCTGCATCACAATTCACAGGTATCATATGGATAACTCTGGATCCAAGCTGAATAATTAAGTACTCAAAACATTATATACTAATTATTGCCCTCAGAAGAGAAAGGTTAGATTTTCTGAAGTTAAGGAGTATTTACTCACCACTACTCTGGCATCAAAGTCATCTTGATTATCAGAATTCAAGCTGTCATCATCACTGAAATAAAAAAAAAAATCCAATCAAGCCTTGTACTTTTTACAGACATGTAAACTATTTTCCTATCACAACTCCTGGTTTCTGTTTATGGATATGGAAGTGCTATAGCTTGTATGTACAAGAGATTACTACTTCTATAAGGGGTTGCTCTCAAATAACAGCAGAATTATATCCTAACTAGCAACACCAGCAGGATGGATGTACTGCTTAACAGGAGAACAAAGATTTAGTAGTAGACATCAACAGTAGCACTGAGATGTTTGGGATTACATGGGCTACAAAGTCAGGAAGTTAAAAAACAAGCAGAATACAATCAAGAAAATAAGAAGACAGGACTCAGCTAACAAGAATACACACCAGCCTTGCTGATGCTACAACCAGGAAATACTATTACTGTATGGCCATGGAACACAAGTATGAAATTCAGTTCTGCTATCATCCACAGGTTTTTATCTCAAGATAGAGAGAACTCCATTTTACTGCTATGGTTTCAAAAAGTGGCACTGGGAGGACTAGCTTCAAAACCTACATGTCTTCCTAGTACTAATTTCATGTAAAGATTTGAGCATCTGGATGAGCTGGGTTGCATTTATTTTACAGAACTTGGTGTCTTCTGCTGTTTTGTAAGAGCAAATTAATTGTTCTTCATTTTACAGGCTCACCATAATACTTCAACTCAAATAAACTAGCCAAGGAAGTGACTGCTAGAAGCAGCAGTAGCTGACAGACAGCTTTGTACCCTTACATTGTCTTTTAGGCTTTCTATTTTTAAGGTGCCAACTATATTTACAACGTTAAATACTCCTGCTGATTTACTGATCCCTTTAACGAGTCAGTAGAAATCACCACTTGAAACAACAACCAGTCTTATTTACAATAGCATTCTACAAGAACTTCAAAGTCTACAAGCACAAAATGTGGCCAAGTACTTTGTTCACAAATTAAATAAAGCTTTCATAATCAGATATTCACATTTACATTACACAGTGTTCATACAGGCTGTAAAAGGACAGCACAGAAACTGAACTTGATATACCTACAATTCTGTCACGTAACTGGCTGCTCCCACAAGCAATTGTGCCATCCCTGTAAGAGCAGCAAATTGTACTGGTCAGGCTGGGGTAATAATAGCTCTCCCCATAGCCTGTGTGGTGCTGTGTTTTGAATTTTCCACCAAAGCAGCTTTGATGCCCTCCCCATGCCAGCTCATGGGCTGGGGGTGACCAAGAACTGGGAGTCTGGGGTATCATGCATCTACCTGTATACACACAAACTTCTATTTTAGTTAAGAACAGAAAAGTTTTTTACCACGTTCAAATATATAGATGAACTTACTTCGTCTCCTGGATAGGGGAAATGGGGCCTTCATCATCCAAGTATTTGTGTTTCCGTACTGCCAGACACTCTCTTTCTAAGTCTTCACTAGCCTGAAGAGCTTTTAAAGCTTTTTTAAGGTGTTCTTCATATTTAAGCATTTCAATGTACTGGAAATATCCCTTTGCAGCTGCTTGCTAAAAAAAAAACACATCAGGTGAGATCTTAAAATACCACTAAAAAAAAAATCACTTAAATTATGAATTAAATTTTAATATTATATTGACATTCGTATTTTATCTGTCTTAAACAAACATTCAGTGTTCTGTTTAACACAAGTAAACACTGTTTCATTGTAGCACACAGAGTAGAAGCACAACAATGCCAACTTGAAGTCACTATTTTTTTAGTCTAAATAAAAACATTATCCCACAATGCAGAGGACTCACCTCATAACCAAGAACCATCTTTAATGGAATATGTTTCTTCCCATAATGTTTTTCAACAAAAGGGAACTGAAAACCTCTGTCTAGAAGCCTTCTCCTCTGCTCTTGAGGTGATGCTGTCAGTGGTGGCCTCCCTGCAGGAATCCCTGTGCTCTCATACTTCTTCTTCTTCTTGCCTGAGCCACCCATGTATTTTCGGTGTGCAGCAGCCTTGAACTTCTTTCCCCTGAAGTGATAGGCAAAAATGGCTTTCAAATTGAGTTTTGACTTCTGCTTCTTGGAAGCTTCAGATGATTTCACTGGACTTTGAAGGGACAGAGAAGAATCTGTAGAGCTATCACTGTCAGACTCTCCTACAACAGATTCAGCTTGTTGCCTCGAAGACTGAGATCTCCTTTTTTGCTTTGGAGGTGCAGTGGAGCACTTAGGATGGTTTTCACTGCCACTAACAACAGTGAGATCACTGAAGAAGGAAGAAAAAAGTATTTACTTTAAAATGAATGTATACTTTTATGAAATATGACACAGATTCTTCACAGGTAAAATACTAGAGATAAAAACTCACATTTCTGAATCACTGGTGTCCAGTATAATCTCAGCTGAGGCAGTTGATGACTTAGGTATACTGTTACACTCATCTGAAGACTCCTCAGGAACAAGATTCTTCTGCCTTGAACATGAACTTTCAATTTGTGTATTTGTTTCACAGGCATGTACCCTATATGGCTCTTTCTGCCGGCCACATATCACCTCTTGGACCTCAGGATAATCAGAGTCAGAAGAGCTGGATTGCTCTGTATCAGTCATGTTTCCAGCTTGCCCTAAAAATAAATGACAATTCCAGGAATTAAAGAAAAGTTCCATGTTAATCAGGCAAGAAGCCTTCCACCTCTCCACCTACCAGAATAAACTTACAAGAACTATTGTGAGTAAACTTCAACCTTTTAAGTTACAGCAACTTATCTCAAAATATTTGTAGCATCTTTTACATCAGAAGAGATTTTTACAGTTCTTTTCTTCCAACTCCTGCTCAAAGCAAGGCTAACTTCAGAGTTGCATCACATTGTTCAGAAACTTGTAGAGATTAAGTTCCAAATGTTTTGAACCCTCTCTCCACATTTTCCCTTAAATAAGCATACATACATGTAAGCCAACAGCCTCTTATACTTGCAAGGATATTGCAATTTGAAGTCATTCAGAAAAACTCACTTCACTATGGTTAACAACCTATTTAAACTAATGCAAGACAGTGTCACCATCAGAAATGTCATCTTTCCTCTGTTCTTTTGCTAGTTACACAGTACCTAAAGTCTCTTGCTCTAACAATCCACCAAACCTTCATCTACTAATCTTCAACTCACATGGAGTTGAGATGAACATGAAGACTAGCCCCAAAGAATGTTAATTTTCAGTCAAATATGCAAGACATCCCAATTGTCACCTTCAGATGCCCAAGTCTATACAAGAGTGACTGAAACACACAGCAGAGGAACCTGTCCTTCCTATGTAACAGCCTCGAGTTATTTTACCTGCTTGTTAGCCATTTACTAGCCCTGTAAAGCAGTATAATTTTATTGTTCTTTTTACACTTTCACAAATCTACCTCCATATCCAAAAATGTTTCAATTTAGCATCTGAGGACACTATAGCAGAACTCAGTTAATGTCCTCAGATAACCTGCTGTTGCCTGATTAACAGTTTCATGTTTCAGAGAAGAAATTACAGCACAGACTCAGGGAGGTCTTCCAAAAGCACAGGAAAACAAAGGTATGCAATAAGCAAATCAAGAAGTCTGAAAATAGAGTAGATTGATATAGACAAGTAATAAAGAATGGCAGGCCAGTGCAAATGACTACAGAACATGAGAATCCATGACTGCCCACAATAATAAGCCCCATTTCCTCCCTAACCCATATAGCTATCACAGAATCTTAGGGGTTGGAAGGGACCTCAAAAGATTATCCAGACCAACCCCACTGCCAGAGCAGGGTCACCCAGAGCACATCACACAGGAATGTGTCCAGGTGGGTTTGAATGTCTCCAACAAAGGAGACTCCACAAACCTCTCTGGGCAGCCTGTCCCAGGGCTCTGTCACTCTCACAAGAAAGAAGTTTTTCCTCATGTTTATATGGAACCTCCTATGTTCCAGTTTGCACCCACTACCCCTTGTCCTATCACTGGACATCACTGAAAAAAGCCTGGCTCCATCCTCCTGACACTCACCCTTAACATATTTGTTAACATTGATGAGGTCACCCCTCAGTCTCCTCCAAGCTAAAGAGACCCAGCTCCCTCAGGTTCTCCTCATAAGGGAGATGTTCCATTCCCTTCAGCATCTTTGTGGCTCTGCCCTGGACTCTTTCAAGCAGTTCCCTGTCCTTCTAGAACTGAGTGGCCCCGAACTGGACACAATATTCCAGACGTGGCCTCACCAATGAAGAACAGAAGGGGAGGAGAACCTCTCTTGACCTCCTAACTACATCCTGTCTAATGCACCCCAGGATGCCATTGGCCTTCTTGGCCACAAGGGCACACTGCTGGCTCATGGTCATCCTCCTGTCTACCAGGACCCCCAAGTTCTTTCTCCTACACTGCCCTCCAGCAGGTCAGCCCCCAACCTGTACTGGTACATGGGGTTGTTCTTCCCCAGGTGCAAGACTCTACCCTTGCCCTTGTTGAATTTCATCAAGTTTCTGCCTGCCCAACTCTCCAGCCTGTCCAGGTCTCTGAATGGCAGCACAGCCTTCTGGTGTGTCAGCCACTCCTCCCAGTTTAGTGTCAGCAGCAAACTTGCTGAGGGCACACTCATTCAGGTCGTTGATGAAAATACTGAATAGTACCGGTCCCAGTACCAACCCCTGAGGGACTCCACTAGTCACAGACCTGTAACTAGATTCTGTCCCACTGACCACAACTCTCTGACTTCTTCCTTTCAACCAGCTATAGTGATCTCAAAGTTATTCTCAGAATAAAAAGCAAATAAATCCGCAACAGCCTACAAAGAAATAACCTTTTGCATCATCTAACTGCTCAAGGCAGAAGGTACACCACTGGAGTTTTCAAATTTCTGTATTTCATTCCAAAACTGCACTGAGTGCAAGCTTGTAAATACCCTAAACTCCGCCAAATGCAGTTCCAGTAGCAGCACAGAGACCCGATCTGCCTTTCGCCGTGAGGGAAGCGGGTACCGGGCACAACCCGCACCCGGTCCCGGCGTGGCT